AAACAAATAAACACAGCCATGAAAACTGCTACTATGTATCATTGGCAGGTTAGATGCAAATCAATTTCAGTAAAAAGATAAGTGTTTACATTTAATCACAAGATTAGAAATAGGACACAAGACCATCAGGCCTCTGACCACAGTCCATTCACTGATATTCCATCCACTAAACTGAACTTTAAACTACATTTTCTCTATCTAGCAAGCTCTAACCTGGTCTAAAATGAAGTTCAGAAGTAAGGCCACACAAGTTCGTTTCAATCAGTTTGTACGGTAACCAAGTCGTGTTTACAAGGAACAAGCTGATACAGTTGATCTATTGAGGATGAAGTATTGACTTTGGCTTTTCCAAATTTTCCAGGTTACTGACACCAAATCTTTGAAAGTTATTTTTGTAAGCAAGTTAAAAAGCAGAACTCTACCACTATATTCGACTATTTTAGTCAAAAGTCTGGATACACAAGACTAAACAAAGGACATACGCTGTTCGAAAGTGTGAAAACAGAGCTTTTGAATAGTCTCAGAGAGAGAGAAGTTTTATACCTTCAGTTCAATGCTTTGAGAGATTTGCTAAAACCACCAAACTTCACACAGCTTCAGTCTGTACAGGTACATGTACTCTGGGACTTCATGGACTCCATCCTGTTCTATTAATTATTATTTCTATTCATGCACTGTTTTAAAACTAACAGAGTTCAGCTTTAAAATCGAACAAGAAAGGGGCGTTCGTTCTTCCGTTTGTATTCTATTTTTAATACTCAAGTTTCAGTAGAAGTACTGTACATTCATTTGACTCTTGCTAAAGCCAGAGCCAATTAATTTAAAGGACGCTTCAGGCAGTGCCAGCAAGGGCCGCATGTGCTTGGTGTCCTGATAGCTCATCCCTAGCAGTCCTTTTCCCTTCCCTCTTTTAATCCCTTTATCCAACTGAATTAAAATTGTCATTTAAAACTCTTCCCACTACAACCTTCAAGCACGAGTTAATAAACTTCAAAACTGCAAACCTGTATGCAAGTTGTAATCTATGTACGTTCCTGGGCTAAACATAAGCTTAAAAAAGAAAAGAAAAATCTCCCTGTTTGTCATCATAATTCTTTTTTTTTTTCTAACACAGCTTTAAAAATTCACAAAGTTTATACCTGTGCTTGATAACCGTGAATTTCAGAAACACTCATAACAAGTACTTTATTAGGTACACCTTGCTAGTACGGGTTGGACCCGCTTTTGCATTCAGAACTGGCTTAATATTCTTAATCATGGCACAGATTCAACAAGATGCTGGAAACATTCCTCAGAGATTTTGGTTCATATTGACATGACAGCATCACGCAACTGCAGCAGATTTGTTGGGTGCACACCCATGATGCGAATTTACCATTCCACCCAGGGGCGTAGCTATAGTTTCAGAAGTGAGGGGGGCATATATGTGTATTATCAGTTTTTTTTCTAACCTTTGTCTAATTGACAGGTTTTATTTTTATCTCCTGCTTCTAATAGGCTAAGAAATCAAATACACTGCTGATGACACAATAATCACTCATTTGTTTTCGATATATTATCCTTATGACAATTTAATGAATAAGACTTAGAATTTGAATTTTTATGTCAGTATAAGGCAGAAAATATATTTTATAGTTTCCATACTGTAATAAAGGCTTTGTCAATTAGCAATGCATTATTCTTATCATTGTTAAAAAAATACCCGATATGGCTTTAAAAACACACAAAACATCGTGTGTTTATTGTCTCCACATTTCATCAGTCAAAACATTTCTGCTTTTTATTCAGCTACAGTGATAGTTAGATGCCTTGGTCCACTTCTGGGATTTACTGGAACATCATAAGTTATTACTTCTACGTTCTACCAGTCCATTTTCGACTTTCTGCACAAGAGCGCTCTCCGACTTCGAGTGTGAATGAAAAATACTGTACATTACATGAGAGTGTTTAGCCTTCCATAATGTTCACTAGCCTCGTTTTGGATAAGAATAAAACGTCAGGACATGCACAGACTTTCTTGTCTCTTTAAATGTAATTTAATTCACCAGAACTTTTATGTGTACACACTTGCCCGAAAAAAGTGAGGGGGACAAATTTCAGTTTTATTAAAGTGCATATTCTACACCCATGGTTCCACCACATCCCAAAGGTGCTCTATTGGATTAAAATCTGGTGACTGTGGAGGCCATTTAGTCAACTCGTTTTCATGTTCAAGATATCAGTTTGAGATGATTCGAGCTTTGTGACATGGTGCATTATCCTGCTGGAAGTAGCCATCAGAGGATGGGTACATGGTGGCCATAAAGGGATGGACATGGTCAGAAACAACGCTCAGTTGTCTGAGCGTCTGTGCTTTCTTTGCACAATTTCGTGAAAGGTGAGTTTGACTGACAGGCGATCTGACCAATCATCCACCATTTTGTCCGACAAATCAACCAGAAAGGAGAGAATAATATTAACAATTATTTTATCTTTTACAAATTGACATTGGTGGACTTCAACTTGAAAAAATGGTCTGTATTGATGTCTTTCCGCGGTTGAAACAACATACCTTCTGATGTTAATTTATATTTATTTTGTGCTAGTTGGAAGTTCACAGTTTAAACTGAGGTACTACAGCGATCTGTTAGACACATTAAAGAGCCACTAAACAGTATTTATATTTTCTTAAAAATGTCAAAATTTGAAAGCTGAGACTTTGTTTCATACCAAAAGTAACTTGCTCTGTCTTGTCTGTTGGCGCGTTGCGAGAGTCCTCTCTGCTCCGCGATGTATTTTTCCCTATGTGAGAATGTGAAGTGGCGCGACAGCGCCATGGCTTGTCAGATGCAGCAATGTTAACTAAGGGGGGTGTGTCTTTATGAAGGGTCAATTGACCGTTTGCAAAGACCCGCCCCCTTTAGTTCCTGTTGTTATGGCCACTCTCAAGCCCCACCATGTTCTCACACAGTTTAAAATACATCACGGAGCAGAGAGTACTCTGACAACACACTGACAGACAAGACAGAGCAAGTTACTTTTGGTATGAAACAAAGTCTCAGCTTTAACTTTTTTTTAAAAAATTTTTTTAAAAAGAAATTTAAATATTAAATACCGTCTTGCGGCTCTTTAATGTGTCCGACAGATCGCTATCGCGCCTTAGCTAAAGCTGCCCGTGAACCGATCATCTCTTCCTTCTAGTTAATTTATAGCATCAAATAAACATAAATGAGCATAACGTTCCTCCAACGTTAATCTACTAACATTAACTCTCCTGACTGACTGATTGTCAGATAAAAAAGTTGGATTCAACGAATTATGATTGGTCAGATTGTTCAAACTCCCTGCGAAGGGTCAATTGTCTGTAGCCTACTGTACAAAACTCTACAAACTGAGCCTCATCTTATGCATTTCAAAGCCAAGTAAATCTTATGTTAGCTGTACAAATGATAAATAAATAAAACTTCAGACAGATGGTCAGATTTACAACTACAATCTATAGATATGGAAAGAAGTAAATGATTAATTATGTGCTGCTTAATATTGCACAAAATATGATCTGACTCTTCTGAAGTTGAGCTCCCACCAGGCAATATATCAGACATATCATTCCAGCAGCGGCTCTGACTGCTAACCATGTTTATAAATAAAACACATTCAAACAGCCCAATGATCTAAAAATACAAGTGTCAGCTGGGTTAAATCTGTCTCTGCTTATTTCTGCAATTTATATCTGGGACCTGAAAATAGTTAAGCTTCATCGAGACATGCTTATTCATCTGTTGCTAAAAGCGACACATGCGGAATAAGAGTAATAAGAGCAGAGAGCTAAAGTGGGCTGATGGGTACTGGAGGCTGGCAGAGTAGAAAATGGCTGGTACCAGGAAAGAGAGATGCAATGTAGTGTTTTCTGTGATAAAAGCTCTCTCTGAAGCTAACCGCCATTAAACATGAGAGCAATACTACACACACATTAACTTCCCAGGTGTAGTGGCCTCTCCTGTCCCTTGTAATTACCATTAGCATAAAGAGAAAATTCAGCACCCAATCTTCTCTCTTCACCTCTCAGGCTTCTCACTAAAGGCCACAGAATTACAGATAACACAAAACCAAACAAGAGCTATGAAGCCCATTAATCCATATTCAAATTCAAAAACAATTGATCCGACTGAGCTCGATTCCAATTAATGATGCTCGGTTAAATAGAAAAATAACTGGCAAGTAAATCAGACAACAAGATCCAAATTGATTGGTATTTGGATTGATATTTGCACCACAGCAATAAACATGATGGGGGTTATAAAGCATTGATCATGCAGCAGTGCTATTTTAGGACAATTTATCTAGTATTATAGCATTTATTCATATTTTGCATTTATTTTCAGATTTTCAATGTCCGCCGGTTTAATTTAAGTTCAGGTTTCAGTAATTTTATTACATGCTTTTGACATTTTCATTAATTTCTATGTGTATATGTGTGTGTTTCATCTATTTTTATTTCAGTAAGTCACGAAGGCAACAATTTTTTTTTGTTTTTCCACATAATATTTATATTTTATTTTAATTTTGCTTTATTTTAATTAACAAACACTGTTATTTTAGTTAATAACAACACTGACACTGAGACATTTAACATTCAAAATAAAGGAGGGAAGAACAATGAGTTTGAGGTAATGAAAAAAGTCTTGGAGGTAATGAAAGTTCTGGCCACGTTCTCTGACAGCTTCTTGTTGCTGTGGTGGCGCTGACACTAAATGCTGCTCTTTTGTATACATGAGCTGCACACATGTAGACAGATACAGTAAGTTTGAGAGGTACATAGAAGGTTGAGTACTAGAATCTGCAGTCAGATTGAATTTATTCAAATTGGTGAGAAAAAATAATGTTTTGTGGATAGAGAATATTTTTGCTGAGAGAAGAAGCCAATATGTTAGAGCGGAGAGATAGAAAACTAACCAAGGATTGATTTGTCTTTTCATCTCAAAGACAAACCTCACCTGAGGTCAGTAATGATTTCTTACCATCAGTAACCTGTGACTCCTGAGAAGTGCTGGGCTGCTGAGGTTCATCCGGAAGGTCATGATCTGTTTGTGTCTCTGCGTTCTGTAGCCGCAAAGTCTGCGTCTGCGTCCCCTGTGATGCAACAGTGGGCGCGGGTTGTCGGGGCTGCAGACCAATCGCATTCATCAGGCCCATCTCTCTGTGTGAGCGCCAATCAGTCCTGCTGTTCCTACAAATAAGACACATCGCAAGGTCTTAAGGTGGTTCTGATTTGATCTGATATGACAGACTGTTCAATTCTGCACAGGGCCGAAGGAGCTTCAGATAGAGCAGGATATGTGTCTGTATAACTCTTTGCTAGGTAAAGCTCAAGGTTGTTTTCTTTCATAGAAGTTTAAGTCAGGACATGCTACAATGCATTTTATCAACTTACAAATGAGAAGTTGATAAAATACATTGCTGAGAAATGAGAATAATACAAGAAAAGTGATTCATCTACAGGAGAAAACATTATGTGCACAATGCTAACAAACCAAACAATGCCTCCCCCAAATATTACAGACAGTTAAAAGGTTAGTTCACTGACAAAAAAAAAAAAAAAAGTATTATCATCATTAACCCACCCTTATGTTGTTCTGAACCTGACTGTATGACTTTTTTCTTCTGTGGAACATAAGGAAGATCATTTGAAGAATGTTCCAACTGTTTTTGTCCATACAATGAAACTCAGTGGGGTCCAAAACAATACTGAACCATACTGACTTTGATGATGATATTTTTTAAATATCTTCTTCTGAAATTCATACTGGTTTGGAACAACACAAGGTTGAGTACACAATTTACAATACTGGATGACCCTTGAAATGCAACTCACAACAAACACTAAACTTGTAGACAGGGTCATGAGGCATACAAAGCTGAATTATCTTTAAAATACTAATTCAATTGATAATTCAAATTTTACAGTGAAAGGAAGTAGAATTAAAAAGAAACGAATTACTAGAATTAAACAATAAATACAATTTTTAGCAAAAAAAGCAAAGTTTCCAAGATCAAGCCTAGTTTTGAAAAGGATTAAGTATGAACTGACAGACAGATAATGGCAGTTGTAGACCATTATTATGATGATCATGTATTCCTAATCATGTGATGCCCACAGTCATATGCTGTTGTGTACTTCCTCTCTGAATCTGAACTGGCAATATAATGGCCATGGTTATGTTTTGAGAGGAGATCGGAAACTCCATCACAAATTTGAGTGAAGCACCGTTGCTGTAGAGTGGACTAAGATGTCTCATTAATCCACTGTGGAGAAGTGTGGCACCAACGTGTCAGATAATGAAAACCAACAACATGGAATCAGCAGTCAACACACCTCACTAAGGCTTTTTACTAAAAAAGTGTCAGCAAAACATGCTGGATTCATGGCTGCTGTGAGAAGGTCTAATTAGCAGCAGCCATGCCTCACAGCTGTGCTCTGCTATCATGCACATCCACTGAGTGACACGCTGCTATTGCCCGGACCTTGGACAGCGATTGGAGAGCTACTCTGCAATCATTCTGAACGAAGGGAGGTGAAACCTGTCACACAATAATACCATATCACAACAGAATGGATGAAATCTATAACATTTGCCAAACCAACAAAAAAAAAATTAAATGTTTTTTTTTTTATATTTAAATGTATACTATTAAATGATAATAGTTTATACTCACCCTACCCTGTCTCCACCCCTGCTGCTGCTTGTTCCAACCCCTCCACCGTTATTGATGGTGAACATTCTCTCAGAGTGTTCAGAAGTGCCGTTGCCATCTGAATGTGCATCACTGCACAGTATATTTCCATGGCCACATAGACAGACATACAAAGAAAGAGAGAGTAAGAAGTCCAGGTAAGGCACATGGAAAATGTTGCATATAGAGAAAAAAAAATATTGACCTTTCTTTAAGTTTAAACAAATTATTGAACAGTTTTTAATTCTAAGGTGAAATCCACTGGTAGTGGAGATTAAATAAAGCAAGTAAGAAGAACGGGGGACAATGCGTTACACTGTAAAAATGAATACGCTATATCTAAACAATAAAATTGTGGCAACAGATTACAAGCAATATTATTAATTAGATTGAACACGATAGAATTGAGTAATAATTAATACACATATTTCCATAAAAGTTAACCATTTAAAATGAGTAAAATGTACACAATCAAAAAAAATTAAACAAAAATATCTGAATAACAGATATTGACCCTTAAGTCATTAACTTTAAGTTTTGTTTGGCTGCTGTACCTGAGTTATAATAATAATACATTTTATTTATAACCTTCACAGGCTGAATCTTGATGTCTGCATAATTAAAAAAAGAAACTGTGCCATTTTAAGAGACAATTTTTAGAATTTATTTGGATTACAGACAGTGCTGCTATAATTAATAAAGTAAAACTAACTCCCAAGAAAGGCTCTATATGAGTTCAGTGATTCAGGTCAAATGATTGTGAAATGGTGATTATGTTAAACATAAGATCACCTTTTCTATTTGTTTAACTGGCTGTTATAACTCATGTTGTCAACTTTTTTCTTCTAAAGTGTTAGACCAGGCAAAGACCAGGAGAGAAAAAGAAAAAAAAAGCAAAGACCAGGAGACTCGGGTGTATCTTTTAAGCAGGGTTCTTTTTTGTTGTTGTATTCTCAAGTCTGCTTCATCCAAAAAATCTTACCCAAGTCTGACCTAAGCCAAAAATACCTTGTGTTCATATACCTTTCAAGGGGGAGGGGTTACATAGAGGTGGAGACACTCTGAAACAAAGCATGTTGATTCAGCTGGTTACCTGATTTCATCAGCATAACAGTGCAACTCAGAACCTTGAGATGCTAATTCAATAAGCCTGATTTAAAGACTTCTTCCTTGACATCTGTCTGTTATCCAGATATTTTTGTTTAAAACATTTTTTTTTGGTGTAAATTTTACTCATTTTAAATGGTTAACTGTTAAGGTATTAATGATTAATTACTACTCAATTCTAATTTGTTAAATTTAATCGAAATTATTGCTAGTAATCGGTTGCCACAATTGTATTGATATAGATATAACATATTAATTCTTAATTAATTGATTAATAGAAAATAAATAAACAAATATCAAAAAGAAAATTAGACAAACATCCAACGAATCAAGGTAAAGAGTAAAAAAAACAACAATTCCCTCAGAAATAAAGCTAAAAAAAAAAATAGTAAAAAAAAAAACAAAAAAAAAAAAAAACATTTTTCTTTGTCGGTTTTAAATACAGACAAAAACTTCAGCAAACACAGCATGAGAACAAAGAGCTGAGCTTAAACAACAGCAGACAGAAGGAGAAATCTCTTTTTCTCGGCTATGTCAGAGCTGTAGTTCGTTGACTGCTCATTTGCCTAGCTCAAAGAAACTCGCTATACTCCACACGGACTCCCACAATGTATCTTTGCAGCTCATTAGCATAGCACAGAGAGTCCCGTAGTTGCCGAGGCTGACATCCACTTTATCCAACCATACCGTGCACCTGTCTCAAACCAATAGTTTCCGGAGATGTTGCCTCCCAGTGGGCCTGTCCATATCTCTTTCTTACCCCCCTTATCCCTTCTACTATTCTCTCTGTCTTTTTGTTTCTTTCTCATTTCTCTAAGGGAGACTAACTAAAGGAAACCAGTTTTGAGCTGATGCTCCTTAATGGATAGGAGACAAGTTATGAAGGCCTGCTCATGGCATTCTTAAACTATCAAGTCAATATTTCCGCACTTTACAATTGATCTTGTTTCAACACATCCTAATAAGTGGCTGTTCCCCAGCATGAGAGTAGGCTGATATCTGGAACCACTGGAGGCTAATTACCAGTTTCAGTCAGATCGATCCCTCTCCCTCCGATGTCCAGCAAAAGCTGTAGTGTAAAGAGCTTTATGGGTAATGACAGAGATGAATGACAAAGCTGTGTGTGATCCATCTGCTTTCAGAGAAAGGTGAAGACATATTATGAACGTCTGTTAAATAAATGTACAGGGGATGGGACAAACAAACAGACTATATATTAAAGGTGCAGTGTGTACAAATGTTCAGTATCTATTAACAAAAATGCAATATGACATCCATAACTATGGTTTCAGTGGTGTATAAAGAACTCACTTAATAATCCGTAATGTTTTTATTACCTTAGAATGAGACATTTATATCTACATAACTGCAGACACTCCCTTCTATGAAGGTCGACATTGTGACGTCACGTTTCTAACGTAGCTGACAGCGAAAAAACAGCGCTACAGAGCGCATTTCATCACTACCTTCAAAGAGAAGCAGCAGAAAGCTAGAAGCTAGCCATGAACACTGTGAGTCAGTGTTGTAGTCGAGACCACTTCACTCGAGTCTGAGTCGACACCGAGACCAGAGAGAGTCGAGTCCGAGTCAAGACCGAGTCCATATAGAGTCGAGTCCGAGTTGAGTCCGAGACCAGAGACGGTCGAGTCCGAGTCGAGACCGAGACCAGTGAGGGTTGATTACCTAATTTACTTTTATTTACTTAGAGAAATCCTTTTTTTTTTTTTTTTTTTTTTTACTGAATTTACTTAGAGTTTAAAAAATATGATCAGTTTAGGGTAAAAAGGCCACATAGTAGGTGGTGTTAAAAGTAATTTTATTACAATTTGTCATGCGCAGTTGCGCACTAGAAAATCACCAATCACTGGGCGTGTCAATCAATTTAAAGAAATATTTTATTAACATACATTAATAATCATGAAATATATTTTTAATTGAACTCAAGTGGACTCGGGAATAATTCCGAGTCCTAAAAAAAAATGTTCGAGTACGAGTCAATGACAAGACCAAGACCATTAAAATATGGCCTCGAGACCGAGTCCGAGACGAGTCCGAATCTCGAGTACTACAACACTGCTGTGAGTAGTGACTTTTGAAAATATGTATTTGGATTGTTTATTTTAACTTAGCTCTTCTCCCTCGCTGTGTTATGGGTTTGCTATGTGGAGATAAATGTACTGGTAACGTTCATGAGACAGCTGTTTCTTACTCTTGTCATTGACTGTAAAACTATGTTACAGGAATCACCAACCCGTCGATCGCGGACGACAAGCAATCTTGGAAGCATTTTAAGTCGATCGCGATAAGTTTTCAAAATCAGAGAAAATCACAAGCCTATTGTGTGTAGTAATTGGTGTCTAGGGGATGCGGAGACACGCGCGCTGTTACAATCACGTCATTTTTTCCAGGCACACCTTTGGGCTCAGGCGGAGGCGTCAAGTTTAAACAAGGCTTTACACTTTAACCAGCTCAGCCACAGTAACAGCTCATATTTAGCCAGCGAAACGTGTTTCTCTGGCCCTTATGGACTATCTTGTCTGTGTGGGATTATTAAATTTTTTGTTGAAATTATATTAATCTTCTGAGTCTTTGACTGTCTGTCTGCTACACACACACTGTACAGTGACAGTCTCTTAATTTTGTCCATCCTTCTAAAATAAAATCATATCAAGTGTGAATACATTTGTGAATGTGTGAATTATGTACAAGACAAAAAACTTCAGACAGTTCTGATGTTTATGATCTCTAGCTTTCTAAAAACCTGACCTTGGGCACTCTACAACTTAAGCCAGAGGTTGTGGGTGATATTAGCCAAAAAAAAAAAAAAAAAAAAAAAAAAAAAAAAAAAAAAAAAAGCACATTTGAGAGAGAGAAAAAAAAATATGCTTTTAAGGCACTGGTGTCATACTGTTTACAGCATGCTTGCGGAAGCTGCTCAGGCACTTTATTTTGATGGTCCCTTTAACACATTCTGACTAAGCATTGCACCTACACGTTTACTAACCCTTATTAGAGTGTTATTAAAGTATTATTAAACTTGTAGGGTTATAACGTTTGAATAAGTTGACATGTACTTGCAAAGTTACGTATAGTTAGTAGAACGTCTGTTGGAGGACCATCACAATAAAGAGTTAGCAGATATTTAGCAAACAGTGAATTAATACTCTAATGCGAGTTAGTTCACGTAGTTGCAAAGTCACATAGTCAACAGAATGTTCAAAGGGAATCATCAAAATAAAGTGTTACCGAAAAGCCAATGGCTAACTGAAGATCAGTCAGCGGAGCTCTGGAAAGAAATGCCACCAAAATGACTATGACACTTATTTATTAATTACAACCCAGGACAGAGATGGGAAACGCAACATGGATTTGAAGGATGACATGAATGACTGTGCTTCATGCTATGTCAGAGTTACTGTAATTATGAGATTCCAACAAGTAAAATGCATTCCCATGTTCTTAGAACTTGTAATTACAATTTGTAAACTCCAACTTGTGTCACCTGGGTGCAGCAACATCATGTGGAAACTCAGAAATGGCAGCAAGTTTAACTTAACTTTAAGTAAAATAAACTTGTAAGCAGTTATTTCACAATATTTAACAATTCCTATAATTAAATATTATTAATATAATAATAATGAAAGCATACATGGAAAGAACAAAACAAAGTCCTGCTAAAACTGTGTTTATTAGTAAGGTACTTGAAAAACAAATAACATCTGTTATTTGTCGTATGGCGGTTTTGTATACACATTACTCAGATTTATTTCCGTGTTAATAGCGTTGCCATAGAAACGCATAATTCTGAGTCAGAGGACCTGAACATCTCCAAGTAGAATGTTCCAGGTTATCATCTAATAATTATGGTAATTATGAAATGGCTTGACTGCAACATAAAGCCTTGTTGTAAAAAAAATAGACTGGGAAAACAGAAATGATAACAACTATACAAACAAAAAAATATCTATTATTGTTCTGAATTTATT